CAGGTTAAATTTCGAATCAACAAAAAAATCGAATAGTTCAGGTTAAATTTCGAATCAACAAAAAAATCGAATAGTTCAGGTTAAATTTCGAATAATCAGTAAAATCGAATAGTTCAGGTTAAATTTCGAATAGTGACAAAAATCGAGAGTTAGTTGCCCAAAATGCATTCCATATAGGGTAGTCCAGGCTCCTTATGGGGGCTTTGGAAACTAAAGAAGACGCAAACAAATATATTGCTAAAATCTTTAAATATATCAGCACACAGCAACCAGTGTAAACATATGTAGACAAGAATTTTGACTTCTTTTTTCAGTGTGTGCAATATTACTTCATAAGCGTATACTTACTACTTAGTTATCCTCGAACTCTGTAGAAATTTCTTTTTCATTTCTTTTGATCTCTTCAGCTTGGCCTGTTTCTCTTTTTTGTCGCTTCCAGCTTCTGATTTAATTCAACGAACCATATTATACCTCGAATATAACGCAACAAGATTCGAACTGTCCCGACTCGTGTTCAGTTGGCCAGACCCTTAATTATTCACAGTCCAAGTGAACAGTGCTTGAAACATTACAATAGAACACATAACATCGTGATGTACAAACCACTAGTAGATTCTTTCTTTTCTTCTTTTTTTCCTTAAGGCGCGATAACACGGCTCAATTTTCTCTGCAACTTGTCTTGCAGCGTTGTTGCGACACAAGTTGCATGGAGCATTACAGCGTGTAACCCACAGCGCAATTTGTAAAAATATTGCGAGACAAGTTATAGCAATTATTGAAATTATTAAACTAACGGTCGTTAAGTCGCTGGTGGTGATGAACGGCCAAATTAGTTCTAGCTTAATTGGTTATCATACCTCGTTTCTGGTTAAATGACCAGCAAGGCAAAGATTTGACCGGACGCAGAATTGGTTTCAGAGGAGTACTGGGTCCATCGTCACGTTGTTATTATGGACTACGATATAATCTTTTATGTATTGATGGGTTGCAAGCTTTCCTAAGAAAGTCAAAAGCCAAATACATGGCCATGCTAATGAGAAATCTTGTGTTAAATGGCACCAACATGGCCGCGATGATGTAACGTGCAATCGAAGAATAACTCTAATGGGTGTGGGTAAATATTTTTTTCAGGAATATTGGATTAGGTAGCTCGTCGGCTGCGGGTAGGATTGGAGCCATTACTTCACCTTTCGTCATCTGGTTGGTGAGTGTCATATAGTGTAGTAGTATGGTTGCAGTATTTTTGTTTATAAAAGTTTTTTTCAGGAGATATGAACATTTAAAAAATCAATATGCAAGTGAGATGACGTAAATTTAAGACTAATTTATTATACGAAAATGCTGTTGTGGAAAGTGCTGCTGTTTTTTCATTTTCAAATCATCCTTATGATTGAAATATATGGCTTTGTACACTTTTAGGTTATTTCACCTCAGAACACTTGTCGTAAATTACACTTCAAAATGTAACCCATTCTTGAATTTACGTCATCTCATTTGCATATTGATATATCAAATGTTTATATCTCTAAAAATAGGTCACATACAAAAATACTGCAACAATGCTACTACACTGTTTCCATATAAGTGATTTTTTCCCTTGATATATACAATTTAAGTGTTTCTAAATACAGTTGATTTCCAAGCAATGGCTGTTGTTACCGTAGCAACGGGAAATATGTTACCATAGCAACGATAAACAGTTTCTTGAAACTTATTTGGAGAAACGTTTACCATTTCTTTCTTACTCTTAGGCTCTATATTTGACGCAGCTTCCCTACATCATCATGGCTGTTGATGCTCTCATCGCTGGAGTCCTGTGTATGTTGTTACCTGAAACAAACCACGCTCCAACTGCTGAAACTCTGGAATCACAAGACTACAGTGACGTTGTTGTGCTAAACCTTAAGGATGGAGCTGAAGGCGAAAAGAAGATGGGAAAAGACGAAGGAGATAAGTTACTGATCGATGAGAAGAAAAACACTGTATTTTGAAATGAGACTGAGTAATGGGCCACTAAGCGATGTATCAAATTTTTAAACATTTTTTTCACAACAGCGACTCGCACTCATTAGACCGATGCCGCCAATTACGCTAACCCAGGTAATTAGGCTATTAGCAGGCACAATTCGCTACTAGTAGGCTATAAAACTTATAGACTAGCACTAGTAGCTCAACCAATCAGAACAGCGCAGTATTGATGACAGACCACTAGTTGGATTTGACAAGTTGGAAGTTAAAAATGGAGCTGTAATTATATATTCTCCTTTTATTATTATATATTCCTATTTTATCCATAATATAAACCCAATCAGCTGATCTGAAATAGAGACGTAGAAATAACGTCACTGAAAAACATGCATGAAGCCTGTTAAAAATGACCAACAAAAAATGAAAACTTTTATCAACCGATTATTATCGACATTATTTTTCCATTTGGTGGCCTGGAAATCCATAATTTCAAGAGTAAAAGTGACACCTCAGTTTTGCGAATTTTCTTGATTCTGATTGGCCAAAATTTTTTCTCAGATCAGCTTGAAGAGCGAACCCCTCCTAGAGGTGGTCCAGATATTTTTATAGATTCTATAGTAACGTTGTTCAGTGGATTAGGCGTTCTGAGGTCGAGGAAAAAACTGGGTCGAATTGGCGCTGCAGTGCATTGTGGGACTTTGGAATATGTCACCTGAAACAGTCCCACAATGCATTGCAATATCAACTCGACCCAGTCTTTTTTTCAACCTCGGAATGGCTAAGGGCTGACTAGCCTTGCTAACGAAATTTTGGAATATATTGTAAATGAATAGAAACTTTATCATGTATGATACAGCGTTGTATTCTCAACAGTAATTAAATCTAGTAATCATATTTATTTGCCCTACATGAAGAAATTTGCTGTAATGTCCAGCTTGGCCTCTTGTCAGTTTAAATCATTTTGAAGAAAAAGTCGTGCAGTTTATGACATTTTAGTTATAAAGTGCGAACACTATCCATTAAACGGTACTTTTTGAATTGACTGTATTCGAGTACTCAGGCGCATGCGCATGCTTAAATACATGTATATAAGTGAATGTTGCGCAGATGCAAGCATAGAGACGCATGCGTAAAGACAAGTATGCAGATGCGTACGCAGATACAAGTACTTTAACGCATGCGCAGTTGGATGAGTATAGCCTATTCTGGATCAGTAGATCTACAGCAATCAAAAAGTATAAGCTCTTTAATGAACTTGAAATGCTGACAAACGACAAATGCATCGACTTAATCAATAAATACCTCATCCTAAATCATTATCATTCTTTAATAATCAAATAGATATTTCGTTCATTTAATTATTCATTCATTCTCATTTTCAATTTTGAATTTGAATATCAAGATTGCTTACAAGTACTGAGGCATGCAATAGAGCCCTTGCATTGAATTCCTCTTCACCACACATCGGTTCACTGGTCAAACACAAAGCATTCAGTCGAGGTTGCAAGGTTCAAAATTGAACAATCCTTGAAAGTACCTTGGCGCCTCGCTTGAGCGCTTTGTGTTTGACCAGTGAACCAATGTATGGAAAATGGCGAATAGAGGAATTGTTCCTTGCTGAGACCGTTCTGTGGCAACTATAGACCCCTTGCACTGGGGGACAAGACAATAGGGCGTCCTTTCTTATGCAAAAAAAAATCCATGGTTTTGTCCCCCAGAACAATTCCTCTAGGAACTCAGTACAAGGGGTCTATAGTTACCACAGAACGGTCAGAGCAAGGCTTAGTAATATCTTACAGACAAATATTACTAAGAGAGGATACTGCAGTAAATGTGCCATATTTCTATTGTTGTCTATCATGCAATTTGTTGCGCCCTGCTTTTTTAACTGTTAATCTGTGATATAAGTACACTATTTGTCTTTTACACAATGGTACACAAACACGGATCTTATCAAACTGAGCATTTAGCTACACTACAATACCTATTGTCTATAGCTAGGGCATTTTATCGTTCATGTAATTTACATTTTCGTGAAGCATTATTTACTGTTGTGTACTGTGTGCCAGACTCCCCTTACCGCGCCCTCGTTAAGAGATAGTTGGTCAAACAATCTCTAACCATAACCGCCAATACTTATTGGATACTTCCCACATGTGTAAGGGTTTGACCACACACAGCCATCAATAACTTTGCTCTGTCTTTCGGTGCTAGGAGTCATGCGCCATAAATGCAGCTGTTATCAGCGTACGCGTTGTGGGTTGGTTTACAAAAAAAGTATCTAATATTATAATATATGGGTTCAGTTTTTGTTGCAAAACATGCTACTAACCACAAATTATCCTTTTTACGTATTCTTAATGATGGATGATAAAAACGTCAGAAAAGTTTTGTTCTAAGACAACGAGCTACGCACTTCGTCTCGTCAAACTTTTTTTGTCATAATGGAAACATGCCATGCCATGAAAAATTGTCAATAGCTAAAGGTATATATTAAGATTTAAAGATAAGAAATAAACACCCTAATTGTATCATCAAAGGGCAGTGCTTTCAACTTCACTATCGTCTTCTGCATTATCAGTTTGATTATCAGCTGTTTCATCGTCTTCGTTATTCTTTTCTTTGCTTTCTTCCTCATCACCAGTTACAGGGTTAACAGCAGTCATCGAAGCATCATTATTTTGTATCGATTTATCTTCATTTTCCTGCTTATTTTCCTCCTCCTTTTCTTGTTCTTTTGGTTCTTTTTCTTCGTCGTCTACTTCATCGACAGCAACGACATTATCAGCTGCCATTGGTGCGTCACCATTAAGCATTGGTTTACCATTTGGAGTCTGCATTTTCCCAGCACATTTCTCCTCATCTTTCTTTTCTTTTTCTTTGTCTTCAAGTCCCTCGTCGTCGTCCTCTAACTCACTCATTACCACGACATTATCAGCAGCTAACGCAGCATCACCGTTCAAGGTTTCTTCAGTTGGTTTACCTTTGGTTTCTGGTAGTGTCATGCATAGTAAGCCAGCTAGGAATGCCTTTACTGCCATAATGCCAAACGGCAGGAGAGGATGGATACGATTCTAGATCACAGGAGAACAATATTATTAGAAAACTATTTCCTGTAAAGGGCTAAGCATAGATGAGAAGGCGACAGGACTGAATGGAGAGTCGAAGACAATGGGACGGATAAGAGAGAAGTCGAAATAGACGTGGAGATCCTAAGGATCGAACCGTGGACCTCAAGCTCTGAAGGTCGCGCACTAACCAACTGAGCTATGCCTGCTCCTATAAATGTCTTGGCTAGATCATCCAACATGGCGGCGATGCATGTCTGTTATTTATCTATATTTATCCAACATGGCGGTCATATTTCTTGTTATAGCAAATTCTTAGGAATATTTGTAAATAAACTAACTTAAGTTTTACTTACCAGTGAAACAACATAAGGAGATGCAAAGGACCCAAGTCGTGCTGCGGCTGTAGACGATCCCATTCCAACGTTCCTGAAGCATAGAAAAAAATCGACAGCTTTCATTACAATAAACCTTTTGTCAATTATTTTTCTACTGATGAAGACAAAAAAGCAAGGCTATCGGGTCAATGTCCGTGCCTCTAACCAACCCACGAAGGGATGAAAAACCGAAGAATCGGAAGAAAAACCCTGAAATCAAGGGAGAAAACTAACAAACTCTACTCACATGTAATGCCGAGTCCATAAATCAAGTTCTAGAATCCAGAGGCGAGAGGCGAGTGCAATACCCTTACACTACCCTTGAATCCCATATGGAGACACTACCCTTGAATCCCATATAGAGCGTTTTCACTCACGTGAGAAGGCAGCCATAAACAATAGAAACTTTCTGCACAGTATTTGCATAAAAATAGAGTTCAATTCCCGAAGGATAGAAAATGTATTGTTTTGGTTCCCCATAATGGCCGCTGTGACGTCACGTGAAAACGCTCTATTAAGACTTATATACGGACCCCATAACAAAAATCCTGCACGTGCTACTGTACCTCACGACGGTGGGGAAGAGCTCTGCCGCATACACGTATATCGCGTCAAATGACATCATGACGAAGAACTTGGCTGTCATAGCCATTATGATTTGACCAGCATGAAAACCTGAGAGAAAAAGGAGTATCGTTGATAAATTGATGAATATTTATTACTTAGCTAAGAAAGTAGGTATAGAAATAATTTATTTGCCAGTAGCCGAGAAGGAAATCAGAAAAAGAAATTAGAGTTCCTGGAAGGAAGTAGATTCATATTATCAAGACGATTATGGCTTTCAGCAGAACATGTCCTTGCACGAGTGTGACTACAATAGCGAACTAATCACCGTTGTTGCAGCTCAGTGGCATCAAAATATTGTCCCACCTACAACTACACAATATTTGAGTACTACAAGGATTACGAGGCAATTTTCTATTCTTATATAGCAGGACCGTGAACTATTGAAACGATTTATAATCGATTTTTCGCGCTCAAAGTTTTAAATTCTACTGAGATATTTGAGAGAATTGGTTAAGCTTGTGGGACATAGCAACGGTAACTAAGGAGAGTCGGGAACATGAATTATATCATACCACTGTCATTTCCAGGATCTTTCATGGTGATTATTACAGACCCAATAGATGCTAAAGCTGCTATAATCAAACCTCCAACCAAGGTTTTCTTGCGTCCACATCTGAAATATTGAACCAGATTACACCAGATTCTAAAAGCGATTTTGATTGAATGGAGGCAACTGGAGCACTTTGCCACACTTGTTCCCTTACTTTGGTTTCCGATATTTTGCGAACTCCGACATTTTCAACAGTTTGTTGTGAAATTGTTTTTTTTTCACTGCCGCCGTAGAATATCGTAAACCGCAGTAAATCTACCCTAGAATAATCGTAATTCCTCTTACGATACCCCCGATTGTGTAAGATATTTTTTCTTTGGCTTTCTCGCCCTCCTTTTCCCGAGGTCCCTAGAGTGACCACAAAACAATGGCTCCAAGTGAAAAATTCGTACGAATTCGAAAAAGGTATATTGCCCGGTATTAGCCATTCCGAAGTCAAAGGAAAAAACTGGGTCGAGTTGGCTAGCAATGCATCGTGGGACTGTGTTAGGATACGAAGTAGACGCCATCTTGGAAATATGGGTAACAGTCAAATTTTTGATATTCTGGTTGAGTGATAATAATAATAATAAACTTTGTTTATAGAGGATAACACTTGACAGTAATTTTTTAACTGATAAACGTTGGTCCTCTTTTAACGTCTCTAGTTAATTAGGGACGGGACCGCCATTAACGTGATCATCCGAGTCACGCGAGGGTCTAACCATTTACAAATGTAATTACAAAGGCAGCACCTTCTCCTCAGTTATTTTAAGACCCTGAGTGCAATCCGAGTCGGGGCTCCGGGGTAACAATTATTTACGCTATATTTTCCCCGAAGACTCGACTCGGATTGCTTCGTGCTGGATGACTCAACCAGAATATCGAATTATGGCTAATTATAACGATGACATACTTTCCCATGGCATAAATAGCTGCATAATTCGCGGGAATCTCTACGATGCTCGTCAGGAAGAAGTTAAAGTACATGTTGCCACCGAGAGATGGAGAAGCAAAAGAAACGCCGTAATATACCATGGCGTTGACAAACCTAATGAGCGTGGAAGATGATAGGTTAATATTGACCGATGATCGGGAACCAGACTTCAGACCCCTCTAATTCTTACTGCGCATGCATTTCGTCGAGCATGCATAGTCAAAATTAGATTCTGGAGTCGAAAATTACATATACAAAAACCTTTCTCGCATTTATAGATTGTATATGTCTAATTGCAGCTAAATTTTGCTGCTATTTTTTACTGGAGCAGAACGATGGGGACAAAAGCAAATACCTGACCTGTGTTTGTTAGGTTGATGCCTGATGTAATTCTTAGCTATTTTACAACTATGGCGTGCACTCTAGACGATTTCTAAACATATGCAACTGAGTACAGAACGTGCAAAAATCTGTATTGGACAATACAACATGTTTCATATTGGAAAGAGGAATAATGTAGTTAAAATTTGAATTCTCTGTTGCACAGGATTAGCCTCCTATTTTGTGCAGAATATTCACGTGTTCCAATCAAGGTCCGTCGAACTTCAAAGTGTTTGTATTGTAAGTTGTGCCTTACTTAGCGCAACGTTGGTACTTGTGAATATTTTGACACTGCAACGAGTCTTACCCTGAGTAAATGAGTCTGTAATCAAGGGATGTCTAATCGAGGAACACAGTGGTATATTTAAGCAAAGAGGAATAGAATCCTGTGTTCATTCTTCACATACCATGAATACCAGGAAACCAATGTTCTGTGGATCATTCTTTTTGTTCGAAACAAATCCCTAAAATCTCCCAAGTTTTGTTTTCCTTGTGCTGTTGGGTCCGATAGAGGTTCTGCGGGGTACTCCTTTTTATTAGTTCGAGCAATCTTCCGCATTATGTCGTTACTTTCCTTCATCTTTCCTTTCAATATCAGATAGCGTGTGGACTCCGGAACAAACCTAGAAATTAAATTTGTTGGAAAATATTAAACTATTGGGAACGAAACAAAGACACGAACGAACGAACGAAGGAAGAAATAAATGAGCGAACAAATGAATAATTGAATGAACGAATGAAAGAACAAATAAATAAATGAATGGAAAGATGGATGAAAACTGACATGGATGAATGTTCCATCCATTTTACTGATCATTTACATACCACCAAGCAGCTAAGACAATTAAACCAGGAACAGAACAAATGATAGACAGTGTCCTCCAGTCTCTGACCAGGTACGCGATACCAGCAAGCGACATGAGGGACAGCGTCCAGGAATACCACAAAGACGTGCCTGCGATGTGTCTGTGACGAACACCAACAAACTCAGTAGCAATCACAAAGATTGGCATACCACATCCACCTGACAGAAAACCAGTACGAAAGATCATTTTAAGTAATGTTTAATAAACGAGCAGGAGTGATTTATCGGGTATAAAACACAAGGCGTAGCCGAGTTGTTTTAGACCCGATAAAACACGATCTCCGAGTTTATTAAACGGCTTAAAAAACTCATAATATAAGTTCTCATATTGTACCGAATTCTTTACGAAATGAACCAAGTTTGATAGAGAAAACCAAGTTAAAGTTTATGCAAATGAAGACGAATCTATATCAGATATCCTCCTTCATGGTCATGATTTCTATTGTGTTTCCTTCATGAATAATTAATGCATTTTTTTAATAGTGCCGTATTGACACTCGATGCGGATGAAATGGTTGTTAATCGTTGCCCTTCCATCATAACTAGTGATTGTCATATTAACAAATAAAGATCAGTTTTCATTTGTCTGTCCTCTTTACGATAAATTGCGTCATCACATTGTCAAAGTATTGTGGATCCACGAGACGTAGCCGAGTTGTTTTACAATAACAAAACCGCGAATAAAAACTTCTCACTTTTAGCGATCAAAATAACCAATGGAAAGAGCGCACGCTCGTTGACGTCAGCTTTATTTGCCTGTCCTCTTATTGATGATAAGGAATAACCAATCAGCGCGGGAGAAATTTGTAACTTATTACAAAATATATGCTTTCGTAAAAGTTCTATCAATCAAGTAGACGATTGTGAACTACCAGAAAGTAGTGAGGTTTACGATTACAAATTTTAAAAAAACACAAAAAAACAAGTAATAAAGTATCCATTATTATTATAATTATTATTTGTCACTCACCAACGCCCATTCCCACTAGCAAGCGACATAAAGTAAAAAACCAGTAGACCTTTGGGAACGATCCAATCAGTGCAAAGACAGAAATAAGAAAGGCGAATATAAACAAGACCGGCTTTCTTCCAATCTTATCTGACAGTACACCGCTGGCCAAAGATGCAACCAGCCATCCAACAAAGATAACGGATGATGTCAGACTTGCCAGAAACGTGTTTTCGCACACCAAGTCAAACTGCAATAAAAATGAATCGCCATATATCATCAGAGATATAACAATGGAGAAGAGAAGAGAAAGAACAAAGAAAGGTAAAAGTCAAGGAATGGAGAGATAATCGGAGAAACAGACAATAGCAAAAAAAGGAATAAAGGAAGGAACACGTAAAAGATACAGAAAACAGACGAAAGTACAGGAAAAACGACGGTGTAGTATTTTGGAATTACTAAGGAATATGAATTGTGTAAAAAAGAAAAAAAAAAGAGATGGAAAGAAATATGTACTTTTTAGTAGATGGATGGATAAGAAAAATGGATGGAAGAAAGATTGGTTGGATGGATGGATGGATGGATAAGAAAAATGGATGGAAGAAAGGTTGGATGGATGGATGGATGGATAAGAAAAATGGATGGAAGAAAGGTTG